TCTAAAAATAAGCACCAGTCCTCCCAGTACACACTGCACCAGCAGTCTAACAGCTGAAAAGACTGTTACGGGAGGAAGGTTATCAATGATGTTCCTTTAAGCTCATTTCGGCAAAGAACTTGAATCTTCCTTCAAGTATAAAATTAGTCCCATGGGGACTGCATTAAACATTTGCACAAAAGAGGAAGAAAGTGAACTCTCTGTTATTTTCTTGACATTTTGGCAGCACATGACTGGGAAAAGAAACTTAAATTAAAAATGTGAATTCAACTCTTTGCAACTACTACTGTAGCAATGTGATCATGCCTTGGAGTCATCCAGTGCTGGTCATCCAAATGGTTTCTGACCTCATAAATAAGATAATCCCTACACAGGCCAGAAGTAAACTTTTCTGTTATTTCAATTTAAGAACTTCCTAATTTATTCATAATTTATTTCCAATTTATTTATTCCTCATTGTCTTAAGTTATATATGTCCATCTCCCAGAATAGACTAACCACATTTTGTGTCTCAAAATCGTTACTCTGCTTTTTTTAACTGAACAGGAACCATTTCTATGACCACACAACATCTTGTGTGTCATGTGAAACTTTTTGAAAACAAGAGGTCACAAAACTCAAAAGTAATTAAATAGGTTTTAGTAGTGGGTTTAATTTTTTATTGCTATACCATGTATATATTAACTTATATATACTTGCCTCTACAAATTTCTAAAAATAAAATGAACATGAAAACCAATTAGGTTCATAGAAGAATAAATGATCAAAGGAAAGGATATTAAATCACAGACAAAATTAGAAAAAGCAATAATAGAAAATAGTGTATTGCCAAAAATAATATGTTGCTCTGAGATAGTTCATTTCTGGAGTTGGTCACTGATACAGTCCTCGAAGATGCTGCTGAGCAGTCCTTCAGATTGCTGAACACAGTAAACCCCCGATTTCCACGGGCATCAAAAATATTCAAAACACATTTTCAGGATTATATGTGAATGTGAGGTTACCAGATCAGAAGAATCAGCCTCAGGGCACCATATACATTGTTACAGAATGTTAAAAAAAAATAAGAAAAAGAACAACAAAATAAGATGACATTTAATTTCCACAATTTAATACTGAAATCAGGATGATATATAACTTGATAAGTTTCTTGAAAAAAATGGGTCAGATCCAAACATATTATATACTGGAGAAACTCGCCGGCCTTTGGAATTAGTCTAAATGTACAGCTAGACTATTAGAATGATGCTGAGTTGTTTCCACAGCATGAGGTAATTATATATGCAAACCTTTAAGAATCTTTAGTTCATTTTGAGGATGTTACTTTAGTTATTTCACAGTCTTTCAAGGCTTCTCTTGCACTGATCAATTACGATGGCTGCACTCATGCAGTTACAATTGCAACGAGATCTGATTTTACATTAGCTCTAGCAATTTACAGTGTTTCAGATCACCCCTCAAAGAAGGCTGAGCTTCCTCAGTTTAAGAAGTTTCTACAGTGGGAATTTCCACAGATGCCATTTCAATTGTGCTTGAAATCCCATTAAAAGCAAAGTGCTGTTAGCCTCTTAGCAGAGCTGTAGATTTCCCAGGACCACTGTCAGTGTAAGATAAAAAGTACAGGCAGAATGGCACAATTCAGAATGCCAAAAAAATATTAAGAAAAAGATTCTGAAATATAGAATTTGGACCACAGAATTTTACATAAAACTACTGAAGTAGGAATAATTTAGTAGAATCAAAACAATAAAAGTAATAAAAGCCTCCGAAATCTCCCTGGCCACTCTGCGGTATTCACTGTTTCATGTTGAAAATGGGAAAACAAGCCCAGAAATATACTGAAACTGTAATACATGAATGACTTGCACAAACAGAGCACAAAAAAGGGGAAAAGACCAGAAACAGAGAAAGAAGACTTAGTACACAAACAGTCTGCTGTGCAGTACTAGAAGACATCAAAGATGAGTATTCTTCCTCTAGTGAGTATAGCACAAAAATCTAAGAAATGGCAATGCTACATCTCGACTGTGGCGTGCGCTTTTCCTGAAGGTCACTACTTGACCTCCAGAATATTTTCAAGATGACGGTATGAATTACTAAAATGACAAAAAAAATCACAGCTCAGCAGTGATCAGTACAAGTAATGCTGTCAACGTAACACTGTCATTGAGGAAAACTATTCTAAATAATGGACTTTTTACACTCCTTGGGTATTATGCACATCTACAGCAGCACTACTGTGAATGGAGTTAGTGGGTAAATTGTAAACACTTGTGCTAAAAGCCTAATTCCTAACTTTTCCAGGGGAAAAAAAAAACAAACAGAAAAATCCCAAACAAAAACAATCAAACAAACAAAACCCCAACCTCAACACAAATTAGAAGCAGCTTTTAAAAAATCTGCTCGATGAACTGTAAATATACTTTGAGAAATGTCTCAGTGGGACAAAGCAGTTCTTCCCTTGTCAGCTCAGGTTCCTCCAGTTCACAGATCGAAAGATCCATCGCTTGCTGCGAACTGAGCAAAATCAATCTGAAATCTAAGGGTGAGGCTAAGGTCCTTCTGTCTCCACAGTATCACATCACTCCTCCATTATCCTTTCCTGTAATAGACTTAGAAAATTCTCATGTTTTTCATAAGATCAGGAAGGAATTTTAAGGTGGATCAGCCTTAGAATTATTTTGATTGTGATTTCTCTTTGAGATGGCAGTGCAGAATTTGCAACTTCACAAAAAAAAATTCAAAGTCTTTAATGAGGGCTAAGAGGCTCTGCGTATGCTTGAAGATATTCTGCCCTACCATGGTCTGCACTTTTCCTAATACTTTGGGCTCAGAACCTCATGCAGACAACTGTGAAGTCCTCAAGGTGTTACGGAAGCAGAGCTGACATCTGTGGAGGTAAGAAGGGCTGTGGGCAAAGGCTGCTTAAGCTCACACAGATGCCAAAAGTATCAAACCATGGTTTCAAGCAAGACCAGCCTGACAAACCCAAGCTTCTAGTAGGCAGTCTGCTGATGTGAACAACGCACTGAAAGCCGAAAACTGTCTTCCAGACAGATCTTATTTGAGAATTATGCATTTTCTTTTTCACTTTTCCTCGTACTGTAACGCCTGGAACAGATCACAGGTTTTTCAAATACAATTTCTATTCCTTCTTCCCAGGTAACTTTGTTATCATTGTATTCGCAGTTCCAAAATGAAGGTACTGTCTAAGTGGAGTAAAGGGTATCATTTCTGCTACCGACTGGAGGAACGTGGTCCTACGAACTGGGTTCCTGACATAAACTACTCTGGAAAATATATTTTAAGAGTGTTTTTTTCTCTGAAAAACTGTTTCAATTAAATAGTAACGACAGCCACAGGATGGATTTGCTCCCCAAATTGTGACAAAGATATTACAACTTATATATTCACCACTGAAGAGTATTTATTAAAATTCAGAAGTACTTGGAAAGATGGTGCATATTAAATATAAAGAAGCCATTTGGGTAAGTAAGAAAATCCACTGAGAGAAAGAAAAAAAACTTTCTAGCAAGTAGTTTACTAAAACAAATTTAAGAAAAAAGGAACGTAATTGGCCATCTCATAAACTGTGACTGCTGTAGAAAAACATGCAAGCTAAGTATCTTCAAAGAATACTAAACAACTATTTTTATCTACAGCTTTCTCCGAGCAGCTTGTTCCTTGATACAGGGAAAACATCTGAATGTCTGGGATCTGCTACATGTTGGGCACTTTTGGATGACTTAGTTCTCAGAAGGATGAGCAGGTAAGACACCCAGCGGGTGCAATGCTGACTGAGCTACTGGGCTCTCTCAGCACTCTCCGCACCTGGGCTGGATTCAAGTCTCACTTTCTTCAGCCTTCTTTACTGAGGTCTCAAAACCAGCAAATCAGATAGAAAGCAGGCAAAAATCAGTATTTCCCTGTTTTATTCTTGGAAAGGGATCTTTCTCTTGTCCAAACACCTAAATCTGTAATGGTCATCAGTCAAAGTTTTGGTAACAAGACAGAGTTTTCCAAGTACTTTAAGAGCAATTCAAATTTCAAAACATTTACTGCAGGATGGGAAAAGCAAAAGGAACGGGGAAAAAAAACCATTGTATTTTTCACACCATGGAAAAGTCTTACTTTCTTTATGTACCCTTCTTCTGCTACCTCATGAGATATGAACACTAATATCACTCCAAAACCACCAGAAAAAAAAAAAAATTGATAAACTGAGCCACTGAAGCAACTTACAGACTCTAGATTTATCTTGGTCAGACAATCTACAGTAATCACTGGGCATCAAGTAAAGTAGTAGCAGAGGCTTAGTTACCTTGTTTATACATGTTTTAAATATTTTCTGTACATATATAAACATAATTTTTGCTGTGCCACTACACTGTGTGCATGCACAACTAGATGGGTATATAGATTTAAAGTAACGGTTTGTACAAACAACTATATCAATGTTTTGGTCTTTGTTTTTTCAGAGTAAAGCATACTTTTCTAAAATATAATTTTGGGGGATAAAGATGACATTTTCTGTATTTCTTGATGACAGCAATTACTTTTTAGTGCATGAACAGTTGCTACTTACATTAACTTCTGTTATAGCAATATCAACGACGCTACCAACAACAATTAAGGCATCAAAAGTGTTCCATGCATCAGTGAAATAGTGCTGTTAGGACAAGCATTCAGCAGAAAGAGAGCAAGAGAGAAACACAAACAGAAAAAAGAGAAGAAAAGGACAGTGTTATAACACAGAAACACTCTAGGATTCTCTGATGTACCACTATACAATCTAATCTTTCCCTTTCATAGCTAAAAAAAAATTGGTAGAAGAAAAAGGCTATTTATTTCCCATATCAACTTAATTGACCCATAACTGGTCTGTACTCAAACTTTAGAAACATCAGATCAAAATCTGTGACTTGTCCAGATGATGGAAATAGTGGGGAGACAGAGAAAGAGAAGTAGGGACTGGGGAAAGTAAGCTGGGGTATACTCACATCAGCTTCACTGAGAACGACGTCTACTATGCTGCCAATAACGATGAGGGAGTCAAACGTATTCCAGGCATCACTAAAATAGCCCTGAACAGAGCAGGCAGGGTGCAAACGTTTGTGATTACACATGAAATGTCAAATATTTGCATACTTCTGTTTAGTTTTGCATAAACAGAAATTAGTTAAACAGAACCTGTGGTCTAATGAGAAAACAAAACAAAACAAACAATATTGCCTACTGAAGGAAAAGCAACATGTATGTGCATGTGTGTATATATATACTTTATATATATACATGTACAGACACACACACGTGGACGGACACACGCACACACGCACAGGGTACACATGCATAAAACACCATCGTCTAAGCACTATGTTGGCAAACAAGCCATCCCAGACTGATTTTGGACTTCTAGCACGGCTGAAAAATTCTAACATATATACCCTAACAAGCACAACAAAATCTCTTTAACAATATTTCTACAAGACCAAGTCAATCAAAATCTCCTTAATATTAAAGACTTTAAGATAGTCCTATCTAAGTGACTGGTAAAAATATTCAAAGGGTCAAAGCTCATCACCGGTTAATCATGCACACTTATTAACATGGAACTGTGTGTAAATATTAGTGAACTGACTTAATCCTCTATTCATAAACTAGGTTTAAACTGCTACATTTGCAGTCAGGCCCTGATTCTCCAACTTGAACAATTTCTTAATGCCTTTAATGTAGCCAGTTCAATGCCTGAAAATTCCTTTTCATAAATAGCTTAGTAACCCTTTTGACATTTTACAGCTTCAAATAATATTCCCTGTGTGCATGTATGCTACTGGCACACTGCTGCAACTGGTTATAAAGCACATCATGCAGTTAGCTGTCTACTGGCATCAAAACCGCATGTTTGAGCAAAAAGGTATTTCAGAAGAAACCTTGAGGCAGGTTCCAGGATCAATCTGTCACTGGGAACAAATCAAAATGCATTACCCTGTTGAAGGCAACTCTATGGAGACAAGGTTTTCCACAATACGTGGATTTTTGCCTAGTTATTTCAGAAGTTTAGAACTGCAAAAATTACTGAACTCGCCCTTTTTTTCATTCAGATATATTCAGTTCTCAGCCAACCATGGCTAAGGAATATGCACTACATGACACAGGCTGAAACATACATTTTGTACACATATATTCTGCTTTCCTGGTAATTAATTTTAAAATAGTAACTCATGAGCTACTATTGAAGCTCTAAAAATAAATTTAGCAAAAAGCTTAAAATGACAAGCGTTATAAACTATCCTTACGTCTAGTCACACTTACTACACTGTTTCCTATAAGATAATGTTTTAGCTGAGCAGTTGTTTACATGTGTTGTTAGCACAGAAAAGCAAAATCAGCTACAAAATGTTTTAGAATTGGACAGCCTTTTTTCAAGATTTTAAAATGTTAGAATATCTAGTAACCTTACTGCTTGAAAATCACATTTGAGTGCATTACTATCTGAAAAAAGTGATTTCCTGTAGAAATTTGCTCTCAGAGATGAGGGAGCTGCTACAGAAGATGACAGCTCTGCTGCATATTCTAGGAGAGTAAGCACTGAGCAGATTCAGGAAAGCCTCATTATTTCTAATGCTACTCTCTTTTAGCTCTTTTAAAACACAAATTGTTATGACCATTCCATCATTTAAGGAAATGGCTGCGAGAGGAAAACAGACGGTTCGTTCCAGCCCTGGGGCAAAAGCCAGTGTGTGTGCATGTGGCCTCCTGAGCAAAGGCATCCACTTCGGGGAGCTCCTGCACAATTCCCCGTCGTTCCTTCCTTCCTCATCCTGCTGCACGAGAGCAAGCCCTTCCCAAAGTTTTTACTAATCATCATGCTGAACCACCTCAGCAATACCCTAACTAAAGGGGAGCTACTCTCACAGTATTCGTCTTGACTGTTCATATTCCTCATTTCCCTTATTTAAAAGAAATGATATTTATATTCATACAGAAAATAAAAGACTACTAGCGAACAGCAAACAGATAATCAGCACAACTCTGTGAGGCGTGCTTTCCATCCTCCTCTACAACAATGGGAACCAAAAAGGGTCCTCCAAATAGAATTCCAGCTGTAGGAAGTTACTTTACTAGGCATACTACAATATAAAGCACTGAAATAACACATCCACATTTTGATTCAATACAGCTAAAATACTTTACATATTTATTTATTTTATGAAACCTTTTCCATCAGTATAGACAAATATTGTTCAAAGTAATATGTAAAGCAAAAGCATACAAATAAACAAAAAAAACTAAGAGAAAATAAAGATGGTTTTGGAAAAGGGAGGAATGGACAAGTCACAGCAAATAAACATCATGCAAATAAGTTGTTTTCACCACTGCAATGACCCAAGATCAATTCACTTACTAGCCATCTTTCCTTTTTTCTTACAAAAATCTGATGTAAAACGACATGGAAAATCATTACAAGTTTAAGTAACAGTTAGCTATCATGAAGCTGTACACACAGTACGTGCTGATGTATTATTTTAGATTTCATAGCTGTATTTTGTTTTTTACTGTATTAAACCATGCTCAGTAACAGATTTTAGCAAATGTGAAGAACAATGTGAAGAAAAAGTGCCTGCTCTTTTAACTTACATTATGACAAATTTGTTCATTGAGAAATGCTGAGGATAAAATCACAAATCCTGGGGAATATGTAGGCATAGAGAATTAACACCAAAATATGATTCTATAGATCTACCACATAAATATTTTAGTTGTTTTTATTACTCTGTTGAAAAGTTTAAAGCCTCAATGTGCAAAGTACTGTGTGTTCCAATCTCCCAGCCAAGAAGTGTGCCAGAGACTCAGCATCACCTTTACTATCTATCACTTATCCAAGATTTCTATCTCAGAGCTTGAAGGCAGTCTGCAGTACCTTGGTTTTACACAACACAATATCATAATAGGAATAATTTATAGTAGCCTAAAGCTTGCATGGCCAGCGAAACCAAAAGATCACAGCTTTTTGTCAGCATATTAAGGGGACACTGTCAAGCAGATGAGATAAAAACCTAACATGTTTATTCTTCTTTGTACAGATTGAGTAATGGAGTTTTTATTTGATGCTCTGAGCATCTTTGAAATATTTTTTTAATGTACTGACTAGACGAAGAAACCCACCATGGACACAAACAGAGGAAATTAACCAGTCTTTCCTCACAGACCCTAAAAAAAAGCTTTAAGCTGGATTTCAGATTGTTCCTACTATTATTAATTCTTAATGAGTTAAAGCAGTTAATTTTTGTTTAGAGCATGTATCTAGTTTACAGTTTAGATTACTGAGACATTTATGTTCTGCTTAAGACTTTTAGCTGATTTGCAATTATTAATGAACTATGTAATATATGTTGCCAATAAGTGCTTTGTTAAAGGAGTGTCGGACAGTTAAGAGAAGTTACAATCTTCAAAGAATAACACGAACAACCTTATAGATAATTAATCTCTGCTAATTAATCCCTGCCAAAAGTCTAATTAATGCCATGGCTTTTTAACCTTGTCCTGCTAATTAAGACATCTAAAGTGTTCTTCATCTATGGGGAAATGAAATTCTAGAAATGAGGACCTTTCACTGACAGCCTCTGCCCTTCAAAACTCTCAGGGTTTAGACCCAGGGATGTCTCACAGCAAAAGCATCCAATCAGATAGAAAGCACATTGCAACAGATTTAAAACTCGGGTTATACAAAGTCTTAGAGACCAGCGTTAAGACATCGCATTTGGTAACGAGTGGGAAGTCCATAGTACAAATGGAGCACTGTGATTTCTACAGTCACGACCAGACCACTGCATTTTGCATTAGCTGCTACTTCTGACTACAGTCACAAGTGCATGAGAACCACACAAGGTTTCACAATCTTCTTTCAAAGCGCGGATGATAAAAGGCAGCAAATTCTTCTGAAACTTCAGTGTGAAACAAGGATAGAGAACAGGAAATACAACTCAGGAAACACAATCAGCATACTCATATGACACTGAGCTCCACATAGCTGAGCTATCTCCTCTGGGAGATATTGTGTTATTTTCAATTTGAAATCCTTCGCATTTAAGTAAGATAGGTGACACAAAAATACAAATAAATTAATTAGAAATGTACAATGGACTGGACAGTGCAGAGAAAGACTAGTGGAGAGCAGGTGAGCGTTTGCCCAGAACTCCACACTTCACATAACACCAGACCTCACTCGATTACTTCTGCAGGCAAATAGAAGCTAGCTCAGGCTCCACAGCTGAGCTCATTAGTAAACGCAAGCTGAATAAATAGCTTTGAAAAGCTGGAAAGTAGCTGTACATGTACTCCACACTGAGCTCTGAGCAGGTACGAGAGCCAAGCTGTTTAAAGCCAGCATGAGATTCCCCTCGAGCCTGCAGTCATCCCATTCCCTACGTAACACCAAGAAAGGGCACAGCTCACGGCCAGTTACAGATGCAGATATCCTGATTACATTAAAAGAAGGGCAATGGAAAATGAGAAATACCCCTCAGATGGTAAGATCAGTACATTTCAAAAGGCACGTTTAGCTGTTTTCAAATTCCACATATAGTGACTGATCACATTTTACTTATGTACATAGATATAAGCCCAGAATAAACATTAAATTCCTTGTACTGAAACCAAAATTTATTTTAGTTTTTCATTATTAACTTTTGCATTGTCATAAGTGCAGTATGAGAACTGAAGGAAAAGACTATAATAGCTGTCACAGTCTGATTTTAATCTTTCTTTTATAGTCACCTGTTTTTCTTGCAAATCTACTTTTGCAAATATGTCTGTATTATTCATTTTGACAGTGTCCCTTTAAGGCAAGGAATCAACTACTCGTTGTGGGGCCCTCTACTAAATATTGTGTATGCATATTGTGTAGGTGTAACCGAAAATATATAAATCTAAAAAGGCTATTGGAAAAAGCAAATTATTTATGTTTGTAGTACTTGGTTGCAGTTTATAAAGTAAAGGAATACTTTTGACTTTTAGAATAGGAAATATAGCATACAGGTCTTTACTGGTGACTAATTTAGTGTAAAGTTAGGAATACTTAAGAGAAGTGGTAATGCTTTTAACGGGAAATAATTCACCTGGTTCATAAAGGGACATTTTCATTACCTCAAAATATTGCAGATCTCATCAACCACATGGTCATATTTTTTCCAATATCTGCATTTCATTTTCTGGAGTTCCATATATACATGTTATCAGGCTAACATTTCTATCACAATTTCACTGACAGGTAGATGTGGGAAATGTACATTCTTTTTGTTCTTTGACTAGTACATAGCTAGTGCGAAACTTAAGTTATACTTAATTCCTGTGCTGAAGACCTAATTAAATCATATCTAAAACTTACCTTGGGTTTGAATGCAATCAGTTTCAAAACCATTTCAACAGTGAACACTCCCGTGAAAACCATATTCATAATGTCCATTGCATCATTAAAGAGCTTAGACTGTCCATAGTGCTGTGGATGAAAAATACAACACTTTGAAAAGTAAAGGCTTTAAAACATTAAGTGAAAGTAAGGCAGCCTAAGATAAATTTGGCAAAAAATTCACACCAGGAAAATGTGTTCTAGTCATATTTATGATACACACCTATATACACACCTATATATCAATATCTCTGGTCAAGAATGGAGTGGCTTAAATCTGCTCTTTTTAGGTCCTGAATGGAACAAAATTATCATTCCTCTACATCTTAAGGGAATCTCCAGAGAAGTGGTTTTAAGAGGAAAACTCTTTCCTCAAAAAAAAAGGAGTATTAGACAACAGCAATTCCCCAAGTTTTACATGCTAGTTTTTAACTTACATAACCTCACATCTCACCTGCTTATAAAGACTGTGGTATGTTAGCCACATAATAACACATATTGTGTAACAGTGATATTGTTAAGGGGATACGGTGTATGCAGGTTCACTGAGAAAAGTAGAAGGGTTTTGCAAACTGAATTTGAACCACCCTTTTTTAAAATCAAAATCCGAAACAGTAAAGAAAGACAACTTGGAAAAGGCAAGAGGAATAGTGAAGAACTGCATGCACAGTGTAGAAAAAGTAAAAGCACAGACAAAAACCCACACACAAATACACAGATATACACAGCTAATACATGAAAACATGTTTGCATGAGGTTTGCATTAACACACAAAGCTAGAATTTCTCCATATATTAAGATTTTAAACTTCTGAAGTAGGTACAGACACAGATGATGGAAATATCAGAGAATGGTTTGGGTTGGAATGGACCTTCAAAGATCACCTAGTCCCACTCAATCAGCTATGGAGTCGTATCCACAAAACAGAACAAGTACAGAAACCACACAGAAGTGAACTAATGCTTAAAAGTACTGCATAAAAGACATTAAAAGGATAAAAGGATCTAGGAGTTGAGAGAAAGGCTTGCTAGCAAGACTGGACTTTTCAGATTTTATTGCGCATGGATAATCTGGGGAATCTGCACACATAACAGAAATTCAATTACACTGCAGGTACTAAATAGAGCTCCAAGAGCTTGATTAGTTTAGGAAGACCTTTATCAACATCAAGCTGTTTTAAGCAATTTTACTTCAGAGAACTGATAAACAGACTAGAGCATGTCACAGAAAAGTATTATGATCAGAGGTGCTTTTTTCAAGTTTCACTTCAGAAAGAAACACAGGTTGCTATAAATCAAAGGAATTATAACACACACATCTTTCCCTGCAATTTATGTCAACAGCTTTAAAAGAACTTCTGCTTTTCCTACCTGCATAGCCAGGCAAAGTGTGTTCAGCATGATGAGGACAAACATGATGTATTCAAATCCAGTAGAATTCACCACATACCAGAACTTGTACTGGTAAGGATTTTTGGGAATATATCTACGAAGAGGACGTGCCTTCAAGGCATATTCTACACACTGACGCTGTAAAAGCAAATAGATCAAAAAATTGTCAGATGATACCTAACAGTTAATCAACTGATAATATAAATAATAGATGCAAATTACTAAATATTAGTCTTAAAAACTGGCAGACCACCTACTTAGCGTAAAGGGTTTTATTATTAAGTGTTAATAAAGTTAAAAAGTCACGTGCCAATTCTCACTTACTTACAATTGCATCTAATCATATACACTACTTGGTCACAGACAAAGAATCCAATAATGCTCATGGAAAATCTGTATCCAGCTTAGCAGTATGCCACAGACTATATGCATGCGTAGTACATAGTGTGATTATTAATGCCGTGACTATTAATCTATAAGTCATGGTTTGTCTTTACTCAGTTTTCAACCATCAACGTAACTGCATAGCATAAAAGTGAAAAAAATAAATAATGAGGAAGTGTAATTTGTCATAGTTCAGTTAAATTTCTCAGCAAAATCACTTGTGCAGGAACATCATGGATTCATCCCCTACTCTATTAGTGCCTGCAATCTTCATGTTGGCTGGGCCTTCCACTTGGCTCTTGAAGGTTGCTGACCAAAGCTGATGGGCACAAAATGCAGAATGAACGATAGCTAAAGTTTGGCCCTTAATTTTTTTTAAATGGTGTGTGTCAGATAAGAGTGCCTGAAAAATCATGACTGGTGACTGACGAGTTTCTCAGTCAAAAGATTAAACAGTAAAAGGGGACAGATTTTCTAAAATTTGAATCTGAATATCCCCTGAGAGTTTCTAAATAAATAGGGGGAAAAGAGAGAATATTTTGAACACTTGCACTTTGAACACTTTCAGACTATTCAAAATACCACATTTATTTTCCTACTTTTGTTGTAAAATCTATCTCTGTCTACGGATAAACTGGCAAGTGCCGTATTCTTCTTAATCTGACACCAACAAATGAGACACTAAAACGCTAACAAGCTTAATCCAATTCCTTTGACCAAAAAAAAACCCCAAAAAGAAACAAACAAAAGACCAGTATGTTGGACTTACAGAAAAAGGAACATACAGTGACCTGAATACCAGTTGACAGTATTTACTGATACCATTCTTTCCTGCTAAGATACGAGTTTGGTGCCCTCTTCCGACCCAAAGCAGAAAGGAAGCTCTCCATGCATAAATAAATAAGGATACTACCAGGAGTTCACTATTTATTTTTACCTGATTTTTGTCCAGCTCACAGTTCTTGTACTCTTGCTCTCCTTGTTCTTGGAATGTAACAATCACAAAACCAACAAAGATGTTCATCATAAAGAAAGCAATAATGATGATATAGATGATGAAAAAAATTGAGATTTCCACTCTGTAGTTGTACACAGGTCCTACATTCTCTCCGTTTGAATCAATGGCTTTGTATAGCAGCCTGAAAAACAACCCAAATTTTATCTTCATTAGCACTAACATGACAAAAGAGAGTAAAATATGCAGACTCAGGTGGCAGGTTTCAGAAATGCTCTGCTGTTTGCTGTTACCTTTTTCTAGTTACTGACAGGGCTTAACAAGCACATTGAAATCAGAGAGAAATCACACCACAGAACATCGTATGCTGTTTTCCAAAAGAATCACAGTATTGACCAGATGGTTGTATTTCCCCCCACCTCCCACCTCCATAAAGCAGTTGTCTAAGACTTTTCTCATTGGGGGAAATACCAAGCAGTAGCTTGATCTTCCTTGGTTTCTCTATGCAGTGTACTATTGTCTGCTTTTTTACTAAAAGTTTTACTCAAAGGCCTAAAATTCTCACGTTAGTACAATTTAAATGGACTTAATCGATAAACATCTAAAAGGATTACTTCCATTAGAGATAAGAAATAGCTCATTATAGCAAAATTAGCTGAAAGATTGTGAATCAAACAATATTAAAACATTTGCACATTATAGACAGGTGAATTAATAAATACAGGAAAGGTGCACAGATTCACAAGGATAGTAGGCTTTTTCCCTTCCTTTAAGTTTTTATACTATCACTGAAGACTGCTTTGTTGCCCAAAAATGCCAGTAAATAATAGAGAACTGTTCTGACAACTGTTTTAAGAATGCTGTGAAAACACGGAGAATTCACTCACGCTGGCCAGCCTTCAAAAGTGGATACTGTAAAAAGGGCCATCATAGCAGACAGAACATTATCAAAGTTGAAATCGCTATTTTGCCAGACCCTCTCTTTGACCATTGGATTATCAACATCTCCATCTTTATAAACGATGTATATTCCTCTGTGGGAAAAAAAACAAACTGTCATTAGTGAAATATTAAATTAGCCTCAGAGTTATTCAATGCTCTGTTCAAAATGGCTTATTTCATTCCCTCCCTAAGCTTGTTTTATTTGCTTGCTGGTCTGTGTTTTCTGGTGGATTTAAGATGATGATTCCAATTTATATGAACCTAAATGGCCTGACACATGCCTCCCTGTATGGGCTACAGTTTAATTTATTCAGAATATAATGTATCACTTTCTTAGATCAAAGATGTTCTCACC